CACGGTCCTCGCGACCGCCAGGCACGGGGTTGGCAGTTCGCGTGGTGTCGACGTCCACTTCACGCTCCACCGCGTCGCTCAGGGGCTCCGGCCGCTGCTCTTCGACCGCCGGGACGCTGTTCCTGGCCCTCGCTCGCAGCACCTTCCGTCTCTCCTTCCAGTAGTTTTTATCTCGGTCACCAGTGGCCTGTGGTTATAGCACGAACGGCGGGATGTTAAGCGGCAGCTGCTCGAACCGCACGCTGGCCTCCTGCACGTGGAACGTGCCGAGCCGCTCCTCCTCTCTGCGCACGCGCCAGTAGTGCTGGATTGCCACATACCACGGACCGGTGGTGGGCGAGCTGGGGGCCAAACGTGCGTTGGACGCTGCAGGTGGCTGCGGGCTCAGGAGTGAGCGGCGCGGGCCTATTCGTTAGGGTGTCGACGGGCTTGTCCGCCAGAGTGTTGACGGGCTCGTCCGCGGGGATGTCGGTGGGCTCGTCCACGGGAGTGTCGGCGGACTCGCCCATGAGGGTGTCTACGAGCTCGTCCCCGGGGGTGTCGCCGGGTTCGTCCGCGAGGGTGTCCACAGGTTTATCCACCAGGTTGTCCGTGGCGCCGCCACGGCCATCCAGACGCGCGGCTGCGCTCGCCGGAGCCTCCGCAGCCCCGGCGGACACGATCCGAGGCTCGGCACCGCCCTGGCGGCTCTCCGAGAACCAGTTCAACAGACAGGGGCACGATGCGGTCTTGCGGAAGCTGTCGGCGTCCGGCAGGCTGAGACGGCCGGCAGGCGACTGCCGGAACCTGCGCACGGACGGGCCGGAGCGAGGGGTGGCGCGCCAGGCCACCGCGCTCGCCGGTCGCCGCTGACCGAGCAGACGCTCAGCCCCGTCTCCCAGGAACTGCCCAGGCCGCTGGAGGTCATGTCGTCGCCCCAGAGCAGCGACGCCGCCCGGCGCGCCGCCTCGCCGCCGCGGCCGTCCGGCTCAAACGCGGCGAACAGGCGCTGGCCGCGCGCGCCGTGTACGTGAGCATCGGTCAGCGTGGGAGGCGGGGCTGGGCTCGGGCAGCTGCTCCGCCTCCAGCACGTCCTCCGGCCAGTCCACCTGCGCCGATCGCTTCTTTGCGCGGAGAAGGCGGATCTTGAGCCGCGGCAGCCGCCTCTTCTTCTTCTTGGACGGCGGCGCGGCGGCCGTCGGGCGGCGGCGCGGCGGCGGCGGGGGGCGGCTCACGGCGCGGCTTCGCGACGAAGTTGGCCGGCACGTCGACGGCCGCTCGCGCGGCAGGCCGGCCGCGGCGGCCGCCGCCTGCGGTCCGGCCGGCTCGGCCGGCGGCCGCCGCAGGCTCACCTCCGAGCCGACGCGGCGCGATAGGCGCGGCGTGGTGGGAGCGCCACAGCCGCGCTTCGTCGCGGCCGAAGTTGTACATGGCGACGTCCCGGTGCGACTGGCCGGCGCGTCGGCCGGCCGCCTCCGCGCCAGCTGTCCGGCGCACCTGTGGCGCCCCCACGCCCGGAGCCGCCGCCCGGGACGGCCTCTAACACGGATAGCGCCGCTATCGGGTGGCGGGTGGCGGCGCCACCGGCTCGCCCCGGAGCGCCCCCGGTGGTCGCACTCCCTCCCCCCCCCCCCCCCCCCCCGCCCGCTTGTACACACAGCTGTGTGAACGACGCACGGACGCACAGACGCGCCTTATATGGACACGGCCGGTGTTCGAACACAGGTGGCTGCTTGCGATGTGGGCAATGAAGAACACTGCGCGCCAATTCGCGGCGAGATCTGAATGATTTTGGTCGTTTCTCTTCGTAATCCCCTCATTCGTCAGTTGCCGCATCAGCATTTATTTGGAGACGTGATCAGGTGTTTCAGGTGAGATATCAAATACTCATCCCATTCCAGCTCGTTTCTCCAACTAAACCATAGCCCAGGTACGACATAGTCCATGTGTTCTTTTCTTAATTTCAAAATTTCATAGATAGCATATTTTTCTAAGACAAGTAGTAATAGCCTTATTCCTTGGAGAAAGATCAGGAGAATGGGGATATAGATAAGTTCATATTTCGTCAAAATGCCCTTATCAAAACGAACAGAAGTGCATTGTTCAGAAGGTACGATTACTTCCGCTATTCATTCCGGTAAAGGCATGTTGCCAAAATATCAAAGCATTATATTCCCAGTCTCCCGGTTTTTTCCCCGAGGAATAAGGTTATTACTACTGTCTTATCTGCGTGTCCTTGATTTCGTAAAGGTAACAGGCAGTGAATCCTCGCACTTCTTGTTATGTAAGCATTCCATTGCGTACGGTCTGGATCCAAAAGGCTCTGGGCACACATAAGGTGTTCAATTCATATCGCCGTTAACTGTGTGACTGCCGTTTCAGCACGAACACTGGACAAGAACAGCGACCATGCTCAGCTCCCCTTGGTACTGTCCGACTGTCTCATGAACTCATTGTGTCCTCGTCTTCGACCCTAGCATCCTGACGTTGCACGGCAGGAATCGGCGCTGCATCCTGTTCCTCGGAGCTTCCGTCGCCATCACTGAGTCCCCGCTCCGCGTCGAGGTGCGGCGTCAAATTTGCCCTACACAGAGCCTCTGCGATCTAGGTGGGCCTGTCTAACGATGTGGAGCTGCAGATAGTGCGGTCCGAATGGTCCCCAGTGTCTCGAGTGGTATCCCGATGTGTCAACTTTTTACAGCAGTCATTTCTCAACCGGCCTCGAACGCAATCGGGCGACGAATTCGAACCTTGCAACCACCTTCCGGGGAGTCGATATCGTGACTGATGCAATTAACCTCCCACAAAGACGCCAGCACTGGGGCGCTAATGACAAGGCCCAGTGTGCGTGCCGCCGTGACGTCAATAGCACATGGGCCAGGCTCGCGACGAATGAGCAACATTCTGGGCGCTGACGGTCTGCGGTCGCTTCAGTCTGAGAAGATCGCTCGTCAGTTACTGACAATTACGGCGTCCTGCACGAGCCGTTAAAACCGGCACATCCACATCGGCGGAGAGGACACGTGAGGGAGGAAGGGATCACCACACGCCCCCTCCCCTCCTCTCCATACAGCAGGCGTTAGTGCCGTGCCGGCGCGGGTCTCAGGCTACGCCAAACCTCAGACATGACAGCTCAGATACGACAGCGAGCATATAGCGCAGCTGCACACAAAGCATCTGGCACATTTGCATCTCATTGTCAGGAACCCCAAAAGCCCTGCAATCGTGCTTGCACTCACAAATAGGAAGTTCTCATGTTGTTTTGGACGAAAGTTATTGGTGGCATTTTGGTGCACTGAATATTGTTTGCACTTATCTGAGTCGGAAGTCAAGGGTGTTTTGTGTATCAAACAAGCCAAAAGTCCAATCCGATCACCCGTTTCGTGCAACACAGTAGGCGCAGGCACTCACTAAGATCCATGATGTATTGCCGAGTTCACCACGAGCATCTCAAGGTACACCGGCTTACAAACTAACCACAATTTCACCCGCGGTGCATGTAATACCATGTTCAGCTCACCACGTACAACGCAAAGAACACAGGCTTACAAACTAAAACAATTTCATCCATGGTGCAAGTAATAATACGGAGTCAGCAATCGACTAAAGCTAATAAAGGCTACCTTGAAGTGCATTTGAACCGATTTCGTTCGGCGTGGGGACAGCTGCGGTCGTGGTCGTTACATACTGATAAACGCGAACGAAACCATGCCGCACGTCGCTTCGATGCCGTGTGCTGGAAGGGCCACGCCAAACGACCCGCCTCGCCAGCCAACCGGCCCCAAGTAAACCAATACAGTGCGACACGGTTAGTCGGTGAAACTAAGCAGAACTCTGCGGCGGACAGCTGGCGACCCGACTTCGACTTCATTATGTCCAAAATGAATAAAAGCCGGCCGCCGTTGCTGGTGAGCGCGTGGACGACGCCTGGCCGGGCGGCGCTGCCGTGTCTCGACGTCCCGTCCGGCGGGCCGGGGCCGAGCGGCACGCACGGCTCCGAGCGGCCGGGGCCGCCCGGCACGCCTTGCCCGTCGCTGGTCCGCGGCGTTCCGCCCAGCTCAGCCGTCAGGCCGGCTCGCAGCGAGCTGCCCCCGCTGGCAAGACGCGACGGTGCGCGGCGCAGGCGCGGCGGTGCGAACCGGTACCCCGATCGATTGCACTCTCATGGTCGACGCAACTCAATATCCATGAACATCTACCGGCTGCGACAGTCAATAAAACGGCAAAAGCCTGCGGCATCGCGAGGAACACGTTTCGGACAATTCGGGCCGCAGAGAACTAGCACTCTACTTCTTCGGCCTCCTCCACGCTTCCACGCGGCCCATCGTCCACTGCCGATTTACCGCTACTCTAGTACCACACACACTATCCAATATAAAGTGTAAATAGATGTCACCTCGGGAAGCGGTTTAGCTGCCTCTGGCGCCGCTGCTGGTCGACGGCGTGTCCGGGACGGCTGGCTGCCCGAGCGGCCGGCCGACGGTCAGTGCTCCTCGCCGGCGGCGGGCGCCGGTCCGGCCGGCGGCGGCCGCACCTCCGGCTCGTCCTCGTCCAGCTCGCTGAACGGGATCAGCTCCTCCTTGGCTGTCGGCGGCGCGGTTCCCGTCAGAGCGGCCGGTCCCGGCACAGGGCCGCAGAGCATACACGCCCCCAGCCTGGCCGCCCCCATGCGCCTCTCGTCCGACGGGCCCGACAGCAGCACCGACCGTGTCATACGCCGGACCTGCCTCCCCCTCCCCCCCATCGAACACACACACGTACACAAACACACACGCGGAGAGCGGCCGCCCTCGTGAAGAGTCCGACCCACGCGCCGCCAATGCCGGCTGTGCCCCTTCCGACACAGGAGCGGCGTGCCCAGTGACGAGCTCGGCCGGCGCCACGCCCCGGCCACTCACCGTTCCGCTTGTAGAGCGGGCCGTCGCCGCGTGCCGTGTTGTAGGAGCCGCACGTGCCGCACTTGAGGCCGATGATGTGGAACGTGGTGACCGTCTTCGACTGGCAGTCGTTGCAGAGGATTTGGCGTAGCAGTTTCGGTAGCGGGCCGGCATCTGCGTCTCCACCACCTCCTGGTCCAGCTTGGTCCAAACCTGCGGCCGGCCAGAGCGCCGCGTCAGCAGCAGCCCGCGGGGCTCCCCTCACCGCCAGCGGCAGGGCGGGGCCGCGCGGGCCGGGACGCCGGGCCAAGCCGGCCTGACCGCGGCCACAGCGGCGTCCGGGGAGGAGACGTGCTACCAAACGTCACGACCGTGCTGTCTTAGTGTTTTTTAACTTGACAAGTGCGTTCACAACCTCATGTTGGAGTTTGTAAACAGCACTGTACATCATCGGAACTGTGTTGTCCCCCAATTCCCATCCTCCAGCCTCTCGTCATCCGCCACTGTGGTCCGTATTCAAACAAAGACAGCACGTCGGCATCGATGCCACTAACAGAGGGCAGAAACAAAGAAAGTGAACAAAGGGGACATGCAAGGATGACTCTTACCTGCCTTTGCTTTATGATGACTTTACGACTAGTCGCCACCGGCGAGTGACACAAGGATCAACGCCACTAATACACAAGCACAGGGCAATGTTATCAACAAGCACGACCGAGTCCCTAGCGTGCCGTACCGAGTCCTTGGCGTGGCGTGTCGAGCCCTGCCACAACTCACCGAGTCCATGTTGAACATGGCGACGTTGCAGGTGGGGCAGGCGTAGTAGCCGCGGTCGACCAGCATCTTGAAGCAGGGCTTGTGGATCATGTGGCCGCAGGGCGGGATGTGGGATGAGATACGTGACGTGTGGATGTCCTCCATGCAGACGGCGCAGTTAGTCCGGCTGACGCGCTCCACGCACTGCGGCAGAGGCGCGCGCGGCCGGCGCCGCCGTCAGCCGCCGGCCGGCCCACCGCCGCCGGACATGGGGATGCGCTCGGCCACCGGCCATGACTTCGGCGCACCAACAGTGGCGGACGGCGCTCAAGCATGGCGGATGCCAGGATGGCACCAACAGTGTACCAGTGCAGCGGATGTCAGGATGGCATCAGACAGTGTACCAGTGCAGCGAATGTCAGGATGACATCAGACAGTGTACCAGTGCAGCAGATGTCAGGATGGCATCAGACAGTGTACCAGCGCAGCAGATGTCAGGATGGCATCAGACAGTATACCAGCACAGCGGATGTCAAGATGGCATCAGACAGTGTACCAGTGCAGCAAATGTCAGGATGGCATCAGACAGTGTACCAGCGCAGCGGATGTCGGGATGGCATCAGACAGTGTACCAGTGCAGCGGATGTCAGGATGGTATCAGACAGTGTACCAGCACAGCGGATGTCAGGATGGCATCAGACAGTGTACCAATGCAATGGATGTCAGGATGGCATCAGACAGTGTACCAGTGCAGCGGATGTCAGGATGGCATCAGACAGTGTACCAGTGCAGTGGATGTCAGGATGGCATCAGACAGTGTACCAGTGCAGTGGATGTCCGGATGGCATCAGACAGTGTACCAGCGCAGCGAATGTCGGCATGGCACAGGCGCTCCTCACACAAACGTGAGCTACAGGTCAACTCTCATGTGCCGAGTGGCAACAGGTGGGCGATTCACCCACGCGGAGAGACGCCAGTGCGACGAGACGCCCGGAGACACTTGGCAATTCAATGCACACGATACTGGATGCTGCTTTGATTTCGGGGGCGGGTCGGCTGCAGCGGTCATTTGACGCTTCACGCGACGCTGGTGACAATCCCACACAAAACGTACGTTGCCCACATCGCCCGAAGCAGCGACAGCTTGACGTGAGCAGGAGGGCCCCGTCGCCACCGGCCCCACCTTGTGGTTGTTCTCCAGGTTTTTGGGCAGGCACATGTCGCAGGTGTTGCAGTGGTAGAAGCTGTCGCGGCCGCCCACCCGGCAGATGCCGCAGCCTTCGCAGTGGTACTGGTGCTTCATATCGTCATCGTACAGCCGACACACTTCGCAAAAATACTGCAAAACAGACGGCGGCCGGCGGTCACACTGGCCGGCACCAAGCGACTCCGGTAGCTGTGGACGCTGCGTCTCCTCGACTACATCTTTAATTTCCTTTGGTAGTTTAGCTGTCACTGAGCTTTCTTGAAGCAATCCTAAGAGAATGTCTCCATAGTGCTCTGACCACTTATGGAAGTTCGCGTGGCAGCTTATTACACTGTAAGAAGCATAATATCTAATTATCAACGTAGAACGTTTGCACATACCGAGACCACCTGCGAGCACCAGCTATACGTCACAAAGGTCTCGACAGCTGACCCACCTTGGCTAGAACAATATCACAGTTGATGCAGCTCTGATGTATTCCCTGCCGGAATCCGCAGGCCGAGCACTCCACCTCGGACACCTGCTTCCGGTCCAGCTCGTGGCCTTCCACCTCGTCGTGGCAAAACCGGCACGAGTAGACCTTGCCACAGCAGGGCGCCTGTCGGACACGACCGGAGCTGCAGCCCACTGACGCTGCCAGCTTCGCACAACAATATGACTCAATTTAGGAAGCCCTGCGGCAAACCATTTATAATGTTAGTCGGTTACCATTGGCTGATGAATGCCACAGATAATCTTCCAACAATTCACTTCATATGATGTCCACCTTGAATGTGATAAAAACCCTTGTAAGCGATTGGGCTTGAGAATGCAGCTCCAGTGTTATTTTTTAATGTTTTGAAGTAATTGCAACAAAGAAGTGTGCTGGCCACATACACATTTAATGACACACTGATCACACCTCAAAGATCTTACCAAATAGCATGTCTTGTCTTTATATGAGAAAAATGGAGCTTGACACACCTCAATGCACACCTTGTTCATGGAATGCCAGCGACCATAGAGGCCATATTAGTGCTCAAGACCATGGGGCAATTGGGGTTTGCACTGTGGCACCAAAGTGGAACCTAACTAACAGAGCGGTTAGGCCTCGGTACTAACCACCCTGCCATTACACCCCACCGACCAGTAGATGGCAGCCTGCTGTCACAATGAGTATGAGCATAGTGTGTCCAGCATCTGCCTGAGCCAAGTGACTGTGGCACTACAGCTGTGCTAGGAATGCTTCCATGCAAAGCCAAGCTGACATCTAGACTATTTGTACCTTATGGTACACACATAGGATGTTTAAGCCAACTGCTAACTGTTCTGAACATAATGGTGGTCAATGCTTAACATACCACCAACTTGGCTTTCCTCTTGTAGTGCTTGCATCCATAGTGTTCTGGGGGAGGCTGCTCCTCCACAGAACTATCTGATTGCTCTTCTTCCATTCTAGCTGCTCTTTTACGTCTCTGAGGGACAGGACACAGTATGTCAGAACACTGTGTGGCATACAAGCTCAGCTGCAAGCTTGGTCCCACAAAGCAGGGATGCAGAAATGCATGTGAAATATCTTTTTGACAAGTGATCTTACCTGTCAAATGTGTCATAAAACTGACACAAGTATTATGAAGCTCAGTTGCAACAGGTCACCATTCAATATTACCTAGATTGAATCAACTATATCTATATTTCTTCATGCTATGCAATTCATCATAAGCTTGGAGCATATAATTTGCTTGCTGATGACATGATAAAGGTACTGATAGCACAGCTGATGTGTCCCATGATGTGCTCCTAAATCAAAATTGCTCGTGAGATACTACCTAAATGCGCCAGTAGACATGACACACATGCCAGACAACCTATCAGCCTGATTCCACATGCCCATTTCAGTCCAAATCATCAAGCTCTTTACAAAGTTGCTTTTTGTGACAAATCCTCACATCTTCCATCTGTCTTACTTTCCTGCAATGGCACTCATAATAAATGTTCCCTGCATTGCTTTAAATCACTGAGATTCTGTGCAACATTATTTTCTTTTCAAAGATTGAGCTATTCAATCAACCACAAGTAATAACAAAATAACAATCAACCACACCTGTTCACTAGGTAGGGATGATTTG